AGAAAAAGGACTTGTGTCGCTAAAGTTTCGTCGGAACGAATTTACGGAAAATTAACTAACGAACGGAGACGAAACAAAATGTTTTAGCCTCTTCTTCGGTAGCAATTTTGCCGAGTTTAGCTTCAGATCTATTTAAAGCTTTTCTATTTATTTACATAATTCAACGTTAATGAACTGAGGAATGAGCTACTTACCAAAATACCGAATGCGCCTATCATTAATGTCACTAACTGAAATATACTCCTTAGTAATTTCAGTTTTTGGTACATTGTTGATTTCAGGAAGTCTTCACTCTCCTGAGAAGCTCCTTTCAACTGTAGCAGTAGATACTCTGGCAAAGTGTGGAACAATCGCAAGAGCGGATAGATTTTAGAGAATAAAACATCAGATGATGGACAGCTCTAACCTTATTAATTACTGGTTATGTTTGTGTCTGTATTGATGACTAGTGAAAGAATATTCCGATTAGATGTACTAATCAAATCTGGTAAGGTTCTTGGTTGGTTTTTCAGATAAGTGACCTTTATTACTTTTGGTAACTTACCATATTTAAACTCTTTATGGGCTTAAATTGTGACTGAAAATTATAATATCCTGCCTACAAGAGAACATCTTAAGGTTGTAACATAGGCTAAAAGCCAGCTGGATTGGATTGTAAAAGTTATAAAATAATGCATTAAAAGAAAGACATTTACCATAATAGTTTTGAAAAATGCACTATTTATTTGCTCATTGAATTAATTCTAAAAAAATAAGCATTTTCTAGAAAATCATAGTTTATTCATATATTTAATGTTTTTCCATATGCTTCAATTTTTGTTGTATTTGCTTAATTAATGTATGTGATTTTATTTACAAAGTTTAAAAAATATCTAACACAACCACAACTTGACGTTAGACGATTGTAAATTTCTTCTGTGCATTTCATTCCACATAAACATTTTATAATATCAATTATATCAATACTTCTCTTAAATGAACAATCACACTCCCATTAATTTTTTGCATATAGAGAATTAATGTCATAAATATCCAATATATATCAAAGTGAAATTTGCACTTCTATTGAAGCTACTTTCTTTATAAATAATGTGTAATGTCACTTTCCCATTTTTATTATTTTTCTTAACTAAGACAATCACTCATCCCTCCTTTTTTTTTATGAAGACAGTTAGACAGACTTACAGGGCAAATATGAATAAGTACCATACCCTGCTTCTATATTTATTGTACATAGTTTTTTTGCTTATATTTTAGAATTTTTGCACAAAGCAACACAAATGTCATTTGCTCATAGCCACCAGTTTTGAACTGTTAAGACTAAGACTAAAAGCTAATCAATAGCACTCATCACCAACTCTTGAGCTACTTTTATGTGACTGAATAGTGGGATTTGACTCCACTCTTTATAGCTCCATAGTCCCAAAGCATGGAGCATGTTTTTGTGGCAATAGGACACAAATCATGAACCCTTTGATTCACAAGCTGGGTACACTAACCACTAGGTCCTACCCAGCACAATTTCCATTACATTTAGAGGGTAGGTAAATTATAATTCTTATTAGAGGTTTAAAAATTGTTAAAATTAAACGGTAACAATGCATTGCAACAACATTAGTTAAATGTGAGTATATAAAAGGTTAAGTTCCCTGATATAAATAACAACTGTAGTCATTTTAATCATTGCATTTATGAATATTTGGTGAAATGAATTTAAAAAAAAAAGACCCAAAACTCATGCACTTTCAAATATTTGACTATTCTTCATCAGGATTAGTGAGTGCAATGTAACATATATAGGAACAATGTTGATGTCACGTAAGCCAGATGAGATAACTAGCCAATCATAACTGGAGACATTGGTGTCAGGTTTAGTTTGTACAAGACAAATGTGTATGTTACATGAAAGACATAACAGTGATAATAATTAAAAAGATGTTAAAACACTTGTTATAAGATAGAAAAGTAAAATAAAAAACAAAAGGGGATGAGAATTAGAGAAAATGATAATGTAAAACAATATATATAGGAAATACTACTAATATAGAGAAATAGAATCACAAATAAAAATATGAATAATACTAATAGTAAAAAATGGAAAAGTAAAAATAAATGAATTTAAATACAAAGCTGTTTTTGGAATTTGTTTTTTTTTTAGACATGGGTCAACAATCCTGGGATCAAGATTGATGCCATTCAGTGATACAGTGTTTAAAGGTGCTATCCAGTAAGTTTTTTCAATTTCTCTGTTTCAGTTTGATGTAAAATTTGTCTCTATACTTATCAGTTTAATGTCTTCAAGAGAGTGGTCAGGCATGTTAAAGTGTTTTTCAACTGGAAGTTCTTTATTTATTGAAGATATGTAGTTATTAAACTGTTCCTATATAGTTGTTGTGGTCTGACCTACATACTGGAAGTTACAATTTCAACACTGGATTAAGTAAATAGCATTTTTCATATAGCAGGTTATGGGTTGTAATTTTAAACTGTCTTTGGTTGTCTTTATCAGAAAATTTGTCAGTCTCTATTAACTTCACTTTAGATTACTCCACCACTCAAATAAGTTTCTTAGATGTAAGCCTAACATACTGATTTGTACTGAAAAACAATTGATAGACCACAATACTTACATTTTTAAACCTGTCACCCTCCACACAACAAATACAATATTACATTCAATTAATAACTTAGATTCAAGAAAATCTGCTCTAACAGTAATAACTATGACCATCAATACTGATTTGTTAAAACAAGCTACAGGTTATAAGCAGAACACTGTGATTCAACAAGTTGACAAAGCTAACAATCACCTAAAACAAATTCCTCTCATGCTTCACTGGTTATTGCCTATCAACCAAAATTAAAAACCTAACCCAGATACTGAAAAAAAAACACTTTTACCCCATTCAACTTAATGATTGATTAAAATCCGTTTTTACAAAAGTTCCTGTTGTTTCAGAAAAACTTTTCAAATCACACTTAGTTAACACTAAAGTTCATTTTAACTCGTCACCTGGTGGAAGTCACCCATGCAATAGCAAGCATTGCCAAACCTGCAAGTTCATGTTTTTGGTCTTTTTTTTTAAATTCATTGCACTTTTTATGTTTTATCCTGTGTGCTAACTCTTTTATCAAAAATTAATATTTGTTCCATATTTGACTAAACTTAAACTAAATGTATTAGTCAAAACAATATTGCAAACTATTAAAGACAACTCTGTTCAAATCTAAACCAAGTACAAATTATACAATTTTACTTTTTTTGAAAAATACTCTAATTCAAGAATTTTTATAAATATTAAGTTTAATGCTTTTAACATGTAAAACTTTTGTAAAATAAAACCTTTTTCATATCTATCGCAATTAGAGGATAATGTTCTTTTTTTTTTCAACAAGTGTCAGTTAACATATAATTTAAAAGTACATTTCTAAAAATCAGTTTTTTATAAAGTAATTTCCAAAAATGCTAATAAATTGGTCTTTGCCCTTGATCTCCCATGTTTCTTACCCATTATTATAAAGTGAAGTAAAAAAATCTCTCAGATCAACAAAGTTCTGGTTGATTGGCTTCCCAGTAGGGTATATCATAAAATTGAAAATGTGAAGATCTCCAGTTTAATCTGAGCTTGTCCTCCTAATCTTTTTACTTTTCACATTCAACATCTGGTCTGACATTAGCTCTAGTTAATTGTGACTTATCTTTCAACCAATAAAGTTTTTCTACCTCGAGCATAGTAATACAGAAACACAAAACCAGCTATGAACATAAAGAACAAAGCAAAATAAAAACTTTCAAAATTTAAAACAGATAAATCTGATTATGCTCCAAGTCCTTTTGGTTTCTCCACATTTAATTACATGAAATAAAAAAAATTAAGGCACTTTACCATCAAGAACTGACCCTGTAAATATAACACACTAACACATCATGATGGTCAAAAATGCAAATGTGACCTACTTAATACTGCACTTGATCCACAAAATCAAGTTTTTTTTACATTTTCCACTTTTTGTCCAGAAATATGAATAACTGGGTAATATCGCTAGTATTTTTAAGTAATTAATAAAACAGAGTAGGATAAATATTTCAAACGATATGCATTTTTTTGCATATAAAAATTTTTACACAGAAGTATTACAACATATTATTACTGCTCTTCCCACATGATTTAAAAAGCATGTAAGATAAACCTTTATGTGTCAAACAGTATGTAAACGCAGTGTAATATTATTACTGTTTCACAAACAACTCGATTGAATGCCCATTAAAACCTTAAATAGTAAGCCCAAAAATTTCCATGATGGTGCAACTGGTGTCTGAAAAACTGCCAGTGAAGGAATTAAAACACTATCTGTTACACTGTCTAATTCAAAACACAACATAAATACTAAATTGTACTGATAAGTAACATCACTAGACAAACATGTATGCATGTTTCTTTCTCAAGTTGGGATTATAAACCTAAAAAGTTGTTCTTAAAGCACAAGCTTATAGATGTTGTAAATCTGGAATATTTTTTAGTTTAATTGAGAGAGATAGAGAAGATTCATTTGATTAACATAAACAGCTGTAGTTCTTAAAAATTACTAAAATCATACATAACAACATGAAAAAATATGTGGACCATAAACCATGAGAATCATAACTGTAATAGTATTGATACAGAATATCTACAATGAGTATCAGTGTAAACATATTTTCTCAGCATCACTTTAGAAGTATATATGCATGTACACTTTGCCAGTATTTAAGTAATGTAAGAATGTTGTTTCCCAAGTCAATGGGTTTTGTCAGTGTTTCGGAGGCATAAGAGTAGAGTGAGATAAAAGGTAATATATACCAGGAAAATGGAATACTAAGAACTTTGCAACATTAATAAAGTGATTTTTGTAAGAAGAGTAATGGTAATATGGGTTTTCTAATACTGACATGATGATGTATCTGATACATTATGAGGAATATTTAGGATCATTACAATGACAAGCATAGTAACTACAGCAAGGTTGCAACCATGGTTTCCAGACTGCATTTACAAAACTGAATTGATCTGGTACAGTTTGAACAGAAAGCTTGTGTTTTTCAACTGCATCATTGATTATTGATACAATTTCAGCATATCTAGAGCTGGTTGTTGGATCAAGAGGGGTGTTTTCTCCTGGATCTGTAGCTATGTTGTAAAGAAGTGGTGGATTATGATGAGTAACATAACTCCCAAAACACTGGCACATAAATGGACAGTGCTGAGTTTCTCGCACCCAGTTTGGTGTAGTGTAGTGCACTTTCCAAATATCATTCCCTGAAATAATAATTACAATATTGGTTACGAAGCAGTATCATAAAATTACTCAAATTTTAAAAATAAAGTTTAAGAATAATACTGCTTTTTAAGTTCAAACATTATATAAAAAAAACAACTAAGAATTTGATGAAAAGAAGGCGTGTTGAGTTTTGTTAATTAAAGGTTGTCTGAATCCTTAATTTTGTTCATCCTTAGCTTCATACGCTATAGTAAATGTGTCAGCTTCATTCCATCAAAATATAGTTGGTGACCTACATAGAGTAATTATTAATTGAAACCATTAGTACTTCATGAAACTCCATAATTAGAGAATTGAAGAAAAACAAGACAATTGTACATTTCACAAATACATCATCTGATACAGACTGAAATGTTTTGTAACAGGTTTATATATATTTAAAGAAAGAACCAGTGAGCTTAAGTTGGTTTGGTTGTTTAGAAATTTTTCTGGATTTGTTTTTAGACTTCCATTTATTTCCAAAATTTCCAGGCTATCTAGTTTTTTACCTTTTTCACAGATATGTAAAATTGTGCAGTTTTTTTCCATATCAAATTGGTGTTTTGTTTCAATATGGTGGGATGCAAAGGCTGAATCCATCTCCCTTAACTTCCAGCTTCTAGAATGTTCTTTAATTCTTGTTCCTATGGGACGTCCTGTTTGACCTATGTATACACTAATGACTATTGAAGTCTTGACATGTTAATTGGTAAACACCACTGTTGCTGTACTTTTCAATTCTGTCTTTGTTGTTGCATAACATTTTTCCAAGGTTATTTTTACAGTAGAAGGCTGGTTTGTGGATTTCTTTGTTCACTGTGTTATATATTTTGTGAGACAGTTTTTCAATGTAGCTCATCTTAAACTAATTCTTTTGTTTGGCTTAGATCAGAACTATTTCAAATTTAATGACCAAATATATAAACTGAATGACAGGTTAGCTATGGGTTCCCCCTTCTCTCCTTTGCTTGCAGAAGTTTTCATGAATAATTTAGAGAAGAAATTATTTACTGATGAAAATAATACAAGACATGTTAAATATTGGTATATATATGTTGATGATGTGATCTGTCTCTGGACAGAATCCAAATGTTAACTCGACAAGTTTGTAACTTTCCTACATTCACAAAACAAATTTATTAAATTTACTATGGAATTTGGTGAAAATGGAAACATTAATTTTTTGGACTTAAATAATGGCAGACTTTCCTTCAGAAGCTTCAGAAAACCAACTTATAGTGACACCGTCATACATGCTTCTTCAAGACATCCAATATCTCACAAACTTACAGTGTTCCATAGTTTGTTACACAGGCTTATCACTGTACCCTTGTCATCTGAAGATTATGAAACTGAATTAAAAACTATAAAACAAATTGCTGTTAACAAAGGTTATACAATAAAGTTTGTTAACACATTGTTGTTTGAAAAATGGAAAGCCATAAATTTTAAATAAAAAACCCACATACTGAACCAATGACAATAAAAAGAAAAAGTTTCAGATGAGCTACATTGGAAAACCTTCTCACAAAATATATAACACAGTGAACAAAGAAATCCACAAACCAGCCTTCTACTGTAAAAACAACCTAGAAAAAATGTTATGCAACAACAAAGACAAAATTGAAAAGTACAGCAACAGTGGTGTTTACCAATTAACATGTCAAGACTTCAATAGTCATTAGTGTATAAATAGGTCAAACAGGACGTCCCATAGAAACAAGAATTAAAGAACATTCTAAAAGCTGGAAATTAAGGAAAATTAATTCAGCTTTTGCATACCACCTTATTGAAACTAAACACCAATTTGATATGGAAAAAAACTGCACAATTTTACATATCTGTGTAAAAAGTAAGAAACTAGATAGCCTGGAAATTTTAGAAATAAATGGAAGTATAAAAAGAAATCCAGAAAAAGTTCTAAATGACCAAACTAACTTAAGCTCCTCCCTGCTTCTTACCCCACTTGTCTATACACCAATGTCAAGGTCACTTCTGGTTCGTTCTTTAAACATACATAAACCTGTTACAAAACATTTCAGTCTGTATCTGATGATGCCTTTACTGCTGAAATCACGGTCATGAATAAATAATGTATTTGTGAAACATACAATTGTCTTGTTTTTGCTCAATTCTGTAACTGTTTACTTTACTGTTAAACTCCTCCATAATTTTAATGAAAAACTTGAAATTTCAAATGTAGGCTCTACATTCCCACACAATACAAATTGGAAAATGTTTGCAAGTCTTGAAGGGGTCCAAAAAATTGGAGTCAAAGTTTATTTTTGGCCTCAGAATTTAGTGAACCAATCTACTTGAAATTGACATTAACATGTAAGGTGTAATTTGATATAGTAATTTAAATAATGATCTAGAATGTTTAGACCTTCATAAGGAAATCAAATGTGTTGGGAACTCCCAGCACAGAATCCACAAATTTATGGACTGTTCAAAACAAGTAACAATGATTATATTTTTAAAATTTTCTTGGTTACAGATATTTGACTATTATTAAGTGCATTTCATGCATGTGTTATTTTAATAAAGTAACAAACAATGATTTAGAAACATAATGAAGTGGTTTTATTACATGTTTTGACAGAACACTGGTCTGTTTTCTTCATGTATGACCCACAACTAAGCATAAAGGATTTATATACAAAACTGTAAAATACAAAGACAAAAGATGCAAGGGTTTAATGTTAAGGAATGCTATCACCTAGCAACAAGACAAGGTCAAGGCTGGTCAAGTGTGTGAGCAAAAGCTAGGTGAATAAACTCAGTCAAATTATGCTGATGTTGCTAGGGCCATTGTCATGGTTTAGAGAAAAATTGTCTGCTTTGATGATTTCTGTTGTTTCTAAATATTCTTTTCCTGTTTTTAGTTTTGGGTTAATGTAGAAGAAAAATTTCATCTCAAAGTATTTTGTGACTTTGACCTGATTCATGTTGATGACATATTAGAGAAAATATCTGAAACTCACTTCTAAGCATGTAACCTTGGTATTCTTTGCATCTTATTTCCATGAAAAGTTTCATTTGTCCTATATATTTTTTACCACATTCACATGGAATACTATACATGTCTTGCTTTTGTTCATTCAGATTTGTTAGTTCAGATTAGGTAGTAATGTGTTTATCTTATGTTAAGGTTTTATTACAGTTTATACATCATTGTTTAAGTTATTAAATAGACTGGAAATTTCATTAGCAATTTTGGGCATAAAAAGAAATGAAACAAATCTTTTACAATTTTGAAGTTTAATAAAAGCTGTACTAATGATGTTGGGGTCGAAACCTTTAGATACTGTTATATTCTTTAAGTAGATCAGTTCAGTTTGTAAGTCTTCCTTGAGGGTACAAGGTTATATAGCACCATTTACATAGGTGAAGTAGGAGGATATTTTTTGACAGCTTCTGAATGGTTCTTATATGTGGTGGCATGGGGTTTTCTGTATATACTGGTTGTCACTTTATTGTTTTATTATATGAGGACATGGGAAAGATAATCGATTTGATTTCATAGAATTCTTAAATATATTGAGGCCAAAGGCCATAATTTTCACTCATGATGATGAAGTACAATCTAACAGCTGTTTTCCCATTTTAGGTGTTAATGTAAAACAGAAAACAAAAAGGCAATCAAAGAGATTGCATACCCTCATCCAGCATTCTTTTGAGATTGCATTGGATAATGTCAAATTACACCTTCAGAAACTCAGAAAATCCTTCTCAGATACAAAATGATCAATGATCCAGATTATTTTTTGCAGTGGGATGAGTCAACCTTAATGTGCCCATGAAATTTGGTACAAATTCAACCACACTTTACAGAGTTATTAACCCCAAACCACAAAAATATCCTATCTCCCCATTATAAAAAATGCTTTAACGTGATCAAGATCTAGACCAACTTTGAGGGCTGTCCCATACTGACTTCCCATTTTGTATACACAGCATGGTCACAAGTAAATAGACACCCCCTTTTCAGAAAAAATGAAATTTTTCAGTCATATTCACCTGAATTGATATATTTATAATTTAATTAATATCTAGTAGATCTTCCTTTCCCTTCGTGGAGTTCGTTGATCCTTTGGGGCATCGTGAGAATCATCTTGTCAATTTTAGATTGTGGGATTTTTTCCCACTCTTGCTTTAAAACACTTGGAGTAGATCGCTCTTTGAAGTTGGTTTTTTTGGTTGTTTCTTGAGTATGGCCCAGAGGTTTTTGATGGGGTTCATGTCAGGAGATTGGCTCGACCAAGGCAACTTCTGGATACCATTTTCTTCCTGCCACTTTTGGGTGTTTCTAGCAGTGTGACACCGTGCTCCATCTTCCTGGAACAACGTTGTGTTCTTGTCCATGAAACTCAAGGAATAAAGTGGCAAGAGTCCTTCCTCCAATATTTCAACGTATTTCAC